GCTCCAAGCCAATACCTGCACTAGTAATACCAGAAACTGCTGCTGTATTAATATCTAGGTTTTGGGTTGGCTTTGGATCTGACGTATTGATTATAAATTCACCTCTGCACATATTACAGGAAAGTTTTAATTTAGAATGTAAACCTAATTTAGTTTCTCCTACAATGTTTAAGTTAGAAAGTGTGCAGCCAAATTGGGGTGCATGATTCGAAATAATTTTTAACTTTTCAAAAAAGTACACCTTATCTATTATCACTCTCTCTGCTGCATCATACAAATTTTTATCTTGAATTACACTCTGCGTTTGTGGTCGACTCTTTCGAGTGGTTCGTGGCTTCAATGAACTGTAATGAAATAAAAAATAAACTTAATTATAATTACCAAGTACCAGTAGGACAAAGCTACACAACGAACGTGAATGGAGGAACGAGCGGTGCCACGGAAGTATTTTAAATAAAACTCGGGTTTATCAAATGTTATGTTGATTGTACTTTACGAATTGGTGCAGGTACCTTTGTGGAGCATTCTCTTCATTCTTGTCATAATCATTATGGTGAGTATTTTGTTCGGCATGACAATAGTCCGTGCGTATAGTTTGTGCATTAGGGTTCACATTTTCCAAATTCAATGTTGTTCTGTAAAAATTATACTTATTAAAATAAAAATAATAGAACAAATATCATGAAAAGTATTTCCAGATGGAAATGCATGTGCGAATACTATTAAATAAATAAACATGCATACAGAAAGCATTCGGATCAGAGGGCCTACCACCATCTCTTGAAACAACATTATTTTAATATTGCTTTGTCTTGTTCACTGTTCGACCAGTGAAAAGGACTCAGTAATATTAAAATAGTTCTATTTTTAGGGATGGTGGTAGGCCCTCTGGGTAAATACGATGATGAATAAACATTTTTGTATTTGTATACATAAGTATACTTACATAGCCGATGGGATACATTCGGTTATAACTTCGTTTCGATCACATTCACTAGCTTCTACAATATTTTGAGACGCAGCAATTCTGAAAATAATATATTATTTCAAAACAAATTCCTTGATGAACATGTCTACAATAAATTGAATGCCTATAATGGATTTTGTGTGTCTGAATATTCCTTCGTGATCGTGAGACAACTAAAACCTTGTGTTTATTTTGCATATACTATACTGCCCGCATAAGTTATCTTACCTACTGGAGCGATCATAGAAATATGAAATAAGGAGAAGTGGTTTATGTACCTAATTATAATAATTTTATAGAATATTCGTAAGATCATTATTGTTGTCCATCCGTTTATCTAGACTTTTGAAAGATCTTATAACTACACTAACTACAAAATTGTGAAGAATTATCCAAATAACATACTATCAAAAGTAAAAAGCTATGTATTATGAATTTAATTTATTACTACTACTAAATACTATCCCAATGATCTAATAAAGTACCTACCTACTATGAATCTTTGACAACGTCGCGTCAATACTCAGCCATCAAAAGTTAGAGTAAACGAATTTAAGATTCTGTGGTTCTCAGAATAAAATCTAAAATCGTCTGCACAAAATTTCTCGAAGGATTGAAAATTTGTATTTTTTTACATAAAACAAACAAACTTACCTTCGACAATTTGCCATCCTTTCAATCTGTAACTTTTTTAAGACTCGTTTCGGAAGTCTTTTCAATGTTTTCTTCTTGTTTCCCATTTCACTGTTTATTTCGAACAACAACAACAATAAATTACGATTAAAAAGATAACAACTCGGCGCAGTTAAACACTGGAGCGTAGTCCTCTCGTCTCAACCGAGCGATAGCGACTGATGTGTGAAGTAGAAATATGCTTGAAGTTCTCGCAACGTGAGACGGAAGATGACTTGTTTCGCGGAATAAAAACGTAGTAAGCGCTAAAAGTGTTTAATCGTAATAAATCCAAAATTAAAAGTAATTACATAAAATGCCTAGGCTCAGCCTTTACTCTTGTATAAATATATTTATTGTTAAATTTTTGTCGCAATAGACATTACCATAACGAGTTTAAAACGAAAAAATATAAAAATTAGAGGTAACTTCGTGATTTTTTTCTGTCGAGGAAATGTTGTTAATTTATGTTTTTGTTCAAAGAGAACCCTTGAAAATATCATGTACTTTTTCATACATTTTTATTTCACAATTTAGTCTGGAATTTTTCATGTAAAATCAAATAGAAGATTGGTAATTTTGCTTTATACGCACTCTTAAGTGTTGTTCCTTGGATGTTAAGACGGAGATTATTGAACTTTTTGGTCGGTTCGACTCATTCGTTCGACAAATTTTGAAACTCAGATGATTTTTAATTGATTTTATTCCAATGAACAAAAAAGTTGTAAGTTGCTGAACTATTAAGTACTGGTATATAAAATACACTATGAAGGTAACATTATATGCCATACCTCTATGTTAGTCTCATTTCCTGAAAGTTACATGAGTGGTATCAGTTTTAAATCTAAAAATAGTCCTTAAGTGGAATATTTTAATTAATAACATGTAAATATTATGATTTATATTACAATATCACGTTTCTTTTTAACTAAGTTAGTAACGTAGTGTTTTAATTAAAAATTTACTAAACAAAATAAGTTTTAGCGAGAAAAAACTAAGTTACACAAAAAACCTTTCAACGTTACGTGTTGCTAAAAAACTTATTTCATTATTAAATTTACGAAATAAAAACTACTTACCTAGTACTTTTTTGGTACCTAATAATTGGCATATAAAAGCTTACTAAAGATATTTTTACGTAACTAGCCTAAAGAGAGGAACTTTATACTGACTCAAGTAAATATTTCATTAAAACAGATTAGTTTGACTGCACGGTTGGCGCGGTGGTTGGGCAACTGGCTGCCGCGTAGCGTGTTCCGGGCCTGGGTGTGATGTGTATGTGAAATTGTATGCTTGTAAATGCAGCCACGACACAGGAGAAAATCCTAGTGTGGGTTAAATATAAAAACAATCTATTTAAATACCATCTACACATACGAAGAGATTCGTATCCAGTTCTTCGTCAGAACTGCTAAGGAGTGAAATTCTTATGTGTTACCAGAAGGGCCCAGTCTTCAAGGCCTGAGTGAATAGGTAGGCGAGCTCTATCGTCAGTTGCATCACCGCTTACCACTAGTTGAGATAGCGGCCTTACCTCGACTCATTACAAATAAAAAAAATTATGTGGTACCATAATATTACTAACTAGCTATTCTCGCGCGGTTTCACCCGTTGCTCGGCTCCATTTAATCGTAGTGATGTTTTATAGACTTTAGCACTCAGGAACATTATATATAGCTATAATTATATATATATATATATATATATATATAATATATATATATATATATATATATATACTTATATGAGGTAAAATATATATATATATATATATTTTACCTCATATAAGTATAGATAATCTAACGACATACCAATACACAAATCAACAAAATGAAAATGTATTTTCCAAAAACTGTATTGTCATTCAAATTAAACTGATTAATTAAGGATAATCATATCTTTTACATTCTTCACTCTGTATAAGTCTATAGTCAATTATGGATATGTGAAACTCGTTAGCAAATCGTAGTAATCGTAGTTTATTATAGCTATCAGAAACTTCAAAAGAGCATAAGAGAAAAGAGACTACAGGACTCATTTCATGCACCCATCAAATTAAGTTATATTACGTGTCAGTAATTCGGTCAATTGAATTCACCACAATTAGCGTCCGTCAAGATTTTATCATTTTCCATTTGAAACAAAAACACGCAATGCAGGTACGATCTATCTACCAGCGACAGACGGGGACATACATTTTTCATGTGCGTAATAAAATGGGTAAGAGGGGTGGGTAGACGGCCGTCCGTAAAGAATAGGTGTCGGCCATTAAAAGATTTCGAATTTTATTTTTAAAATAGAAACCCAGAAATTGCTAATCACACGAAAAATGTCGATCGAAAATGGTTGCTATAATCATATAACACATTGGTCACACAAAATAATTTTCTAAAATATTATAAGTAAATTTAAAGTAGTTATGTATATTTGTATTCGTTAGCGTCTTTTGTAAAATATATGAAATTGTATTATGTAAGAAATATAAAGTATAAAATCTGATACTTTCGATGTGCCAAAAGAGAGTTATGCTTTGGCACAAACAGGCTCGACTGGGATAATAGCATTAAACAACGCTTGCGTTGTGTTTTGCTATATAAGTAATGTCACCAAAGGCTGTATATAGTTGCCCATCCCATTCTCAAACACAAAATTACTATGTGGCTGGCAATGCACTTGTCACATTGATAGTTGTCCATGGATGGCGCCGATGCTCATAATTAGGTGTTTCGTCTTCTAGTCCAGTCATTAAAGATATACTAAAAATCCTGGTTGCGCTTAACGCCTAAACTTTACGTTTTTAATGCCCCTAATAAAGCTGAGTCTCAAGACTGAATATTACCACGTACTTTACAGCTAGCAGACGTAACTTATTTCAAAGACACATAAAAAAAATCAAAACAATAATAACTTTTTCTTAACATTCAAGAGTCTATCACAAATGTCTCGTCTACGCCCAACGGCTCTTGTGCGTATCTCTCAACAGTAATAAAGTCTCAGTAAATTCGTCCAACAAAGCTGAGGGATCATAATTTAAAATTTACCACTTAATCAAGCCACAGCTGACAATCATGATTTACGTCCCTTCTGTGGACGTTTCATTTTCTACTCAATTACTTTCTCCTGGTCTTTAGGAGATAATGCGATTAATTTTTAATTTGATCAGGGGCTCTATTAATCTACTGGGGATTGTAAAAATTTGGGAATAACCTAATTTTGTATATTTTTATTTTATTGTTCAGATCCAATTTTCTGTTCAGAACACTGATTAATTATACATTATTAAAGCTTATTACTAAGCAGCCGAAATAATTACAATGTACATATTTTTATCAATAAAAACGGAAAGCAGACACCGATAACAATGAAAGTAAACAAATGTAAGTCGAAATCTCAAACTACAATAACAAATGAATATCGGTCGACCAAGAAGGGCTTTCTAATTATAGTTGAGATCCCCGAGCTAACAAGAATTGTTGTTTTTATTTAATATTAGTCTTTGTGACCGCCCACAGCCTCGACGCGGAATAAAATGTGTTAATCCAAGTCAAGACCTCTGCCAAATTTAAATTAAATCGGTTTTTGCTTGACTGATTCATTAACATCGCTTTTACGGTATCTACAATTCTTCTAAAATAAATTCCATTGTTTTTATAGACTCTAGAATATTATTGTTGAGTTTAAATACAGATTTATACAAACCATTTTGGGCGCAAGACCTTTTTACCTTTAAATTAGGACTTGGGACCTATGCTTAGCCTGCCTATGCTTACCGAACTTATTGGTACAAAACTGAGATATACCTATAAAATAACAAAACTTGTTGCAAAAAATATTGTTGTGTATGTTTATAAATATGTAATGTTGTAGCCACACATAAATATGATACAAGTACTCGGTTCACCGAACAATATTTGGGAGCATTTTGTGAAGAATTTCTTCTTTGTTGATCGAACGTGTTTCGTTTTCTTGTTTGATAAGACGGTTGTGGAATGAATAATTAATGATGATATTGCTATATTTGAGGTTATTTTGCCGATGAAATGGTATTTTACCTGCTACAATCAGGATTGAAATACCAATATCATGAGAAGTTTTTTTTAATAAAATTTTGGTATATCCACCAAATATCTAGTACATTATTTTATCGAATAATTAATTAATCACTTTTCTATTATTAAATTAAACATTGAATAGAGCTTATCAAAATACAATCGACTACCTTTCCTGTTAATTTAGGCGTAATACTATAATTATATCACGACACGCCATTGTAAACTGTTGTTAGTTTAATTATAGTTGTCTGCTGACAGAGTAATGAGGTTCGCGTGATAAAATGTTTTTTCATTAAACATGCCTTGTAGCTTTTACTCTTCGAAATTATATGAGAGTACGTATACTCATACCTTGGAGGATAGTACTGCAGTGTTACGCAGTGAATGTTCTGTTATGATCTCGTAGCGCTACGTAGCCGTGACGTCAGCTGCTACGCGTCGTAGCGGCTACGTAGTCAGAGATAAATGAATGTCTTTGCTCCACGTTTTAATTATTTTCTTAATAACGTAATAGTTACTAAGCACGTTATTTCGTAAATATTTTACTATTAGTAATATGAAAAGTAACATTATCAACCTTTCCTGGAAGGACTACAAAATCTTAAGTAGATTCATTTACATACTATTATTTATAGCCGGATCTTAGTCAGTCAAGTTTGTGTAACACTTCATAGTAAAGTTCAAGGTTAACACAATTTTGATGATAAAGTAATAATAAACAATTTCATGAATCGTTAATAGTATCCTATTGATAAATATTTATAGAAGCTATTATTTAACACAGCAACAGCTATATTTCAATAACAACTTAACACGCTCCTTTCAACTAACTGTTACGTTTATCATAAACAATTACTAAGCTTACTATAAGCTTATAAAACTTAATAAAAATATTTTTTTACATGATTTTAAACAATAAATGTCATAAATTTTATTTTTGAAAACTTTATTTAAAATGATCCGTATTTCGCCTTAAGCTCCTGCAATTGTTAACAGAGCAATAAAACCTTCATTTCAATATCGTTCAGAACCATTCAACCATTCGTTCCATTCTTTTGATCTACTTCTTTCGATGAACGATTGCTGTTTGACCTTTACGGAGCATAAGAAACCATAATTGCAGCAAAAACTGTTCATTCGAAATGACTTCAGAGCTATTTGAATAAGTTGATCCAAGGACTCATTTCTTGATAGCTTTTTCCTCACTATTGTTTAAGGAAAGATATATCAGTATTTTTTACTTTGTACTAAATTGGACAAAAATATGATTCTTGAAGTAATATTAATTTTTAAAGTAATGATATAAACAGAAATAGTGCACTAACTACAATATTTTGTCCACAGTATGCCGCCAAGATAGCACCAACAACCGACCGCGAGACCAAAGCACTGTGTCGGAGTCTTCTAGAAGATTTAGAACAGAGTTCCTCGAAGACTGGCCACAAACACCTGGAGCTCCATACTTTGACCCTAGTACTCCTGAGAACGTGACCGGTTTAGTTGGACACCCGGTAACTCTGCTGTGCAAAGTGAAGAATTTGCAGAATAGAACGGTAAGTACATAGATTCGTCTGATAACCATGCCATAAAGAGGAATTATACTTGCTTGTATCAAATATGCTCAGAAAAGATTACACTTATTTGAAGCAAGTGTTATTGGAAACCAAACCGTGTAGTTCTATAATGGACTCTGGATAATAATACCAATCAGATCCAGGCTACGTTGTATTACTACATTTTTACTCCACCGACGAATTAGACATATTATGGTAGACCTCTTGCTCAGCAGGTCTACTCTTACTAATCTACCAACAAGGCAAGAAGTATTAGAGTAGAGAATAAAAAAGTAGAATTTTATATTATAACCTTTGTTATACAACAACCATACGTGATTTTCTCAAAGTACTCTAGAGTCAATTGTCATGAATGAATTGAAATCTGTTCCAAACTCGCTACCAGTTATTGGCAGTTTTAATGTACTAAATGATTGGTCTATTGAGTCTAGACAAAGTTGGATCTCGAAATTAATTGGGTCTAATGTTTCGTGGTACAACGGTTACAAGAGTTTTGACTTAAGTATTGTATTTTGATTTGGATTTCGTGTCTGTATTTGATGTGCTTTGTTTGATAAATTTTGTAGTATGTATTAACAACAGGTATAATACTATGAATAGGTGAAAATTTTTAATTCATGGTTCTCAACGTTAGTATTTATTAGCAGTTTATGACGTCAGGATCTGGTTATACACACAATCAAATATATCAAACAAGAGATAATTGGTATTAAAATTTATAATTCTTTCTTGATTTGATTTGATACTTGTACATTATTTAAAGGTTTCAGTTAGAACTAGTGGCATGTATTTTTTTTAATGTATCACAAAGATGACAAATTTTTCCTTTAAAATACATAGTAATTATATTCTTTTATTAACTTAAAAATGATATTTTTCTAGATATTTAAGAAATAAAAATTCCAAATAATTATAATATTGCACTACAATTTCTGATCCAATGTGCACACGGCACACGCATATATTGTACGACAGAAAGAAAAAATGAAATTTGAAGTTTTAATCATTAATAAATGTTTGTATTTCGAATTTTCAATAGCAAAGGTCAAGAACAAGAGAACAATTGTATTACTGCTTCATGTAAATAGGCCTAAAACTTTATAAGGCTGCGACTTTCAATTCCATTGTCATCGCTACAAGTTAAGTAACTCTTAGTACTATGATTACCTATTTTCTTGTTATCATAGTTCGACCCATCTCAAATAAGTTAGACAGGGCAATCCAGTGGATTAGTTATCGCGATTCCATTTTGATTAACCTAACTGTACGCTAAGATTAGTCTTCGAGTTTAAGTTTAGTGTACTTCAAAACTTTAGTGTAATTCATAAATGCATTTTGTTTATTGTTATTTCGTCCCATTTCATTTTATGAGTAATTTGGGAATAATTCTGATGTAGATTAAAGTAATTTTTCACAAACTGTTATACAAAATCTTTAGGAATTTCAAACAATGTTCCCTTATTTTTCTTTTTATTCAAAATAATTAGATTAGATGTTTAACACACTTATCTCTGGAACTATGGTTTAAATTGAAATACAAATATGGTTGTTTTGTTCGTTTATCACAAAACGATAAGGTTGTATGCAAAGAATCTCGCTTCAATTTTTAGGAACTGGGTAAAGGTAGTAATGACTCTGTATTTCTTGTGAACTAACATCGTAAATCATTTTTATTGCTACATTTTATTAATTGTATGTTATTGTGCAGGTATCATGGGTACGTCACCGCGACATTCACTTACTAACGGTGGGTCGCTACACGTACACCTCGGACCAGCGCTTCGAGGCGCAGCACAAGCCGCGCTCCGAGGAGTGGGCGCTGCGCATCCGAAGCCCGCAGCGCCGCGACTCCGGCCAGTACGAGTGCCAGATATCCACCACACCACCTATTGGACATGCTGTTCATCTTAATATTGTAGGTCAGTAGATGACAACTATATTAGTCATTTACCTAGTTTTCCATGGCTTTTTGTTCACAATTAGAGGTTACAAATGTTAGAATTATACTTCCCTTAAAACCAAATCCACAAACCAACCAAGTACACTGATCTTAATTCTAAAAAGTTCTTAAATAAAAACCCTAAAGTCCTACAAATCTCATGAGAATCACGTAGATCTTAACATAGGTTATAAATGTATTTAGTTTGTAGCTAAACTTACTTTAGCTTAGTATTAAAAAAAAGGAAATTGTTTTAACTTTTTTTTATAGTATACTAGATTCAAGTGAATTCATCAATTGGTGAATTTGAGTAACAAATTTATTTAATATTTAATATTAAATTATGCAGATACGTGTAAAATTATACACAAACAGTAATAAATATTATCTCAATAAACCCTGCTGTAGACACGCGGTGTTTTGTCGACGACAGAGGGGTAACGTTTGTTGATGACTGCCGCTGACGTGCCAACGGGTGGTAAGCGCAGTTGACGTATTTACCGTCAGCAGCAAATTGACGTCTCAGAACTGTAGCATTAAAGTTTAATTTTCATAAAATAAATTTAATGTTAAGTTGTAAGCTAAACCACTGAGTACTTTCAAATAATAGGTATTATATATCTCGCTTTTACTTATCGTTTTAAGCATTTAAAGAAGTTTTATTTTTATTACACAAATAGCAAAGCGAGTAAGATATTTTATCTCAAGGATTTGCAATGTTTACAATCTATACCAGTATTAAACATCTTGTTTTCGTCCGCTAAAACGTAATCACTGCCATGAATAACAAGAACTCTAATTCCCACTTCCAGTCGTTTCAAAATACTTACCCGCATGCATTCCTATTTGGATACGTTCCAATTACAGAGAATGAAGTCCATTCAAACTTGGAATCGACCGCCAAATTCAGGGCCATTCGAAACTGTCCAAAGATTGTAACAAGTTGCGGAATTGTACCATATTTCTCGCAAGGATCTAGAAAATATTTTTGCAGCCAATAGACGTCTGTGAATTGGAGAAATTCTTGGCTTTAAACTTGAATTCGACACAAATAGCCTGATGTCACGGTTTATCGCGGATTTAGATGGGACGCAAGCTTAAAAAAGAAAGGAAAAGATTTTATTTTGGTCACCAAACATATTCGTATCTTTTTTCCAATCACAATTTTCATTTGAGACTCAGTATCTATGTAATAGTTGTGTGGAATCCTAAATATTTTCATTCCGCTTTTATTTCTGCGTAGCATAAAGATATTATACGTCACATTACACATCTGTCTCATTTTATTTTCTACTTTTAACTATATAACTGAGTATACAATTAATGGTACAGTATACATATATCGGTTATAAAGTTGCTCGAATGACGAACATGGACTGGAAGGCGTTGTGTTTGCAGATCATCGCTAGGTGGTCTGACGACATCTTCAAAAGCGCAAGGTGCCAATGTATGCAAGCCGCAAGGTGTTATTTGACTTGAAGGACTAAGGGGAGGCTTTTTTCCGGCAGTAGAGGCTGATGGTGATGACAAAAAAAAGAAAAAAAGATATATAACACTGTAAATGTAGTATATATGCTTTATATCACTTTATAGTATATAATAATAAGTTAACTATTATGACCATTATTAATTTAATAGTTTAGTTGGATGACCCAAGTCAGCTCTTTTTGCTCTTACCATGAATTTTATTCTCTAAAATATAAACTCTCATATTCTGTCACCTTGTTGTTCTAGTATTATTTAATTCGATATCAATATTGGAGCATCGTTTGTTTGTGCTTAGTTCGAAAACGGTAACTCGATATTGTTTTGGGTTTTCGAAAGTTTAGTTAGCAGAAAGGTCTGATTTATATTTCATGTTTCTGTTTATTATTTTATTGTTACTAAGCATTTAATAGACTATTCAAGTTCTTTTTCAGCTGAATTGTAAACCTAGATTGGGGTGTCTTCTTGGATGGTCATGGATGGTCTGTTTGATCTCGTCTTAGTGCTTTTGTTTTACGTATGTTAGGTCATATACCACCAATATTTATGTAAAACTATTTTTTGCCCGCGACTCCGTTCGCATGGAAAAGTGACATCCGGCAAATTTTTGGTATAAAAACTATCCTATTTCCTTTCTCGTGTCTGTGCCGAATTTCACAGAAATCAGTTCAGTAATTTAAGCGTGAAGAAAAGACAGACAGACAGAATTACTTTTGCATTTAAAATATTATTTTGGGTTGTGTCAATATCGATAACGCAAAATCTTTTAAATTATTATTAATGTCTCATAACTAAAATCTAAAATACGTTCAATATTGATAATAATATTTTTAAAGTTCTCTCTATTCATTTTTAAGTCTCAATTTACGTCATTTTTTATGGTGACTTCAGTGACCTTGACTTATCGAAGCCATAAAAATAATCTATAAGACATACTTGCTACAATGGATGCCATTTACGCCTCCATAATTCCTTCAAAGGGTTTGTAAAGAAAAGGACCTGAGTAGTTACTAGCAAGAAAAATATCCTTTTTGCCTTTCTGCCTGATGTGTAATGGAGCTTTTACGTTAAGGAACAGATGTCTCGTAAAATGTCAAAATTTTCTTCGAAGTAATGAAGCAAAATTTTTATAGGAACTATTTTTTGTTAAGGGCTCCACCCGTCACTGTTATTGCGTTCTTGTGTATGACGTCATAGGTTAGACAGACTATTATGTATGAAGGTTGAATGTTTTGACTTTTAAAGTCGTTTTTGGGTTACAAGAGGTACAAAAAACAATTCGAGATTTCTGTTTTATTGCAGTGTGAATTTTATTTGTGGATTAGGAAGGTATCAAACAATGATGAAATAAGGTGGATAGAAGGATTATTGTTACTCTTTTACGTAATAAATACTGAAGGGATCGATAGATTTTTAATAGAATTAGATTATAGTCCAAAATAACAAACATAGTCTACCTTATAATTTAGTACTGCGAGTGTTGCCACTGGCAGAAGCATGTAATATTGAAAACGTCGCTTAGTATTAAAATTAAATATAATTTAATTAGATCATATATAATAATATTGGTATGTGACTAAAACTGTAAACATACAAACTCACGTAGAATTAAATTTAACCAACAAATTTTTCTTAATAAAATTTATTTGTAGACTTAGGTGCATTCTCTCTAAAGTTTTGAGAATAGTCTTAGTTTTATTTGTTTAGGGAATAAGACATCCACTGTACTTAGTTACTGAAGATATTTCAGAAGCTTAGTAACTACAGGTACGAAGCTAAAAGTATTGTAATTTCTCTTGACAGTTTTGTTACTTCGTTTGTCGAATTATAAGTTCGGATTAAGTACTGGAAGTAACTTAACTTCATTTATTGAAAAAAAACAACTTACTAACAGAGATGAGATTTGAAATGGTTTATTAGTTTAAATAGCACATGTTCTCTCCACCGTCATTTAACCAGACAATCCGCAAAAAGTCATCGCTTCATGATAAATACCCGACATGAACGAAGCGGTTCGCCTCCAATTTTATAATTATAACCGAGAGCCGAAAACCGAATAGAGAAGAGTTGAATTCTTTGCCGCAGTCTATGTTCCCAGAAGAGTACAATAGTATAATCTGGGTGTCTTTAAGGCCCGAATAAATAGGTTGCTTATGAGTAGGCGTGCTCTATCTTAGGTTGCATCATCGCTTGCCACCAGACGTGATAGTAACCAATGCCAGCCCATTACAAAACATACAAAAATACTTAATAATGAGCAGATTGCTCGTTGCAGCGAAATATAGCTGACTCCAAACATTAATAAAATAAACTAGTAGCAAAACACAGTGTATCTCGATAATAAGGACCTCTTTTATTAGAACACTAGCTACTCGCGCGGTTTAACCCGCTACGCAGCTCAATTTGATCGTAGCGTGAAGTCATCAGTGAAAGAATTTTGGCAATCCAACCAGCAGTTCCAAAAATTACCCCATACATACAAACTTACAAGTTTTACCTCTTTATAATATTAGTACAGATACAAATCCAATAATGCAACTGTTGTCCACAGAACCCGAGACAGAGATAATGGGAGGACCAGACCTGTTCATTTACGCCGGGTCAACTATAAACCTCACATGTATTGTCAGACATACTCCAGAACCGCCTAACACTATTAATTGGACGCATCGAGGGAAGGTAAGAAAATGTCATCTTAAATTTCTCATGTTTAAATCAAAACTTAATGTAAGTTTAACTATTTGGGCTAACCTTTGACCTTTAACTATTTGGGATAAGATTCAAAATCCGATGTCAACGTTCATGAAATAACATTAAGATTTTAATATCATCAATCGGGAACGAAAAACGAGCTGACAGAACATCTAATGATAAGCGATCGGGGACACCTATGAATACTAGACATACCACAGGGGTAACAAGTGCGTTGCCGGCCTTTTGTGACTTTTTAGGGATTTTGGGATACAATATTTGGAACAGAAGAAAGGGACACCAGCAATACATGAGGATTTCAAGCTCTTTTCATCATCATCATCATCATCATCATCAGCCTGTTGTCGTCCACTGCTGGACATAGGCCTCCCCAATTGCACGCCACTGAGCTTGATGTTCAGCTCTTCTCATCCAACTACTGCCAGCCATCCTGCGAATGTCGTCAGTCCACCTAGCTGGAGGACGCCCTACACTACGTTTGCCTAGACGTGGTCTCCACTCAAGAACACATTTGCCCCAGGAGCCCCAGGGCTATGCTTCGAGTCTCTCTGCAGGATCGTATTCGAAACGAGGTGATCCGACAGAGAACTACTTAAAGTTATCGACATAGCACAAAGGATTAGCAAACTGCAGTGCGGCAGTGGACAGGTCACATCTGTCGAAGATCCGATGACCAAGCTTTTTTGCGCGTTTGAAATATTTGTTTTGATTTTGGGAACAATCCTACATTCGTCATAAAACAAGGTAAATGCATAGCTAAGTCATTTACTTTATTAAAATTTAATTTGGGCCTAGCAAATAAACATTAACAAGATATACTGTTTTGATCCCAAGCAGTTTCCCAATATTTACTAAATGAGTGGTCTAGTCTTAAAAACAATATGCCGCGATACTGCATGTATGCTTAGTATTGATCCTAAGAGTAGGTTGCAGATTACTTACTACAAAGACAGTTCGATGCGATATTGAATTTATGTTTAGTAACGTAATCAGATCTAACATGAGGTTAATCATTATTTACAGAGCATATAGCCATCCTGTGATTATGTTTAGGCAGCAGTTGTAGCGTAAGAGTCAGGTGTACTTATCATGGAAGCTGTAAATTATCTATATTGTATCCATGCTTAGGAAGTACATACATATAATATGATCTAACGACTAATTATAAAAATTATAAATCGTTTTTACTGCACGTTTAAGTAGCTGCGATATAGTGCCACGTCATAAATACTGTGCAAGTAAAGTTGCTTTACTGTGAACATAATTCGTTGTTGTAATCAAACGTCACGCAATTTATCTTATAACACAAGCAGTAAGGAACAATTGAAAGTATAATTTATGTATTCCTTGAATACCTACGTAAACTTTTCGATTACTATGAAGACGATTTGCGAGTGCGCGAGGGTGCACGGGAGTGTGCGGGGTTGTGATGGGAGACTTCAACGCAAAGGTATACAGAATGGCGATGAGTTGAAAGTGGGGCCATTTGGATGTCGGCAGCGAAATCATCGGGGACAGCGCCTGGTAGACTTTATGGAGAGGGAGAGAGTCTCTATCTGATGAACTCCTTCAAAAAACGACCGGCCAGGAGGTGGACCTGGATAAGACCTGATGGGACAACCAAAAATGAGATCGACTTCATTATGGCGACCGACAAGCGTATATTCAGTAATGTCTCTGTAATTGCTGAAGTGAAAACTGGTAGCGATCACCGAATTGTCAAGGGCATACTGAATATTAATGTCAAGCTGGAAAGGTCACGTCTGGTGAAGTCGACACTCCGTCCTTGCCGCGCTCAGATTCGGAACCCCGATGCCTTTCAACTCCAACTTCATAATCGCTTCCAGTGCCTTACCGATTGCGAAGCCGTGGACGCAATTAATAATGGGTTGGTGGAAACTGTCCGAGCAGTGGGGTCGGAATTCTTTAAGATCTCACGCTGAAACAAGCCTCAAAAGCTCGCGAACGGAACATTAAAGCTCCTGAAGCACCAAAACGAAATGAGACTACAGTCTTCAGCCGATATGTCAGAGTACGGTAACCTCAATAGGCGAATTTCAAAAGCCATGCGACGCGATTTGCGTGCATATAATACTGCTCGAATTAAGGAGGCCATCGAGAGAAACCAGGGCACAAAAGTCTTCGCAAAAAAATCGTCTATTGGGCAAAGCCAAATAACGAGGCTGAAGACCGGTAATGGTAGCATCATTTCATCGAAATCGGAGATTTTGAGAGAACTCGAGCGGTTCTACGGACAGTTGTATACTTCAACACGGGAATCCATTGTCGGTGCAGCTCGGGACCCAAGAGCTAAGCTGACACGACACTATACTGAGGATATCCCAGACATCAGCCTGTACGAGATTAGGATGGCTCACAAGCAGCTTAAAAACAACAAGGCACCGGGCGATGACGGAATCACAACAGAACTTCTGCGAGCGGTTGGGAAACCGATACTTTTAGTCCTCCAAAAGTTATTTAATTCCGTCATACTCGAAGGTAGTACGCCCGAATCATGGCAAAGAAGTGTTGTAGTTCTGTTCTTCAAAAAGGGAGATAGCACTTTGTTAAAAAACTACGGACCTATTTCACTTCTGAGTCATGTGTACAAGCTGTTCTCGAGGGTCATCACGAACCGTCTCGAACGCAGGCTCGATGACTTCCAGCCTCCCGAACAAGCCGGGTTCCGGAAAGGCTTTAGCACCATAGACCACATACACACGCTTCGCCAGATAGTACAAAAGACGGAGGAGGATAATCAGCCATTGTGTCTAGCGTTTGTGGACTAAGAGAAAGCCTTCGATTCGATCGAAACCTGGGCAGTGCTGCAGTCTCTCCAGCGATGCCATGTCGACTGTAGATACGTCGACGTGCTTAGGTGTTTGTACAGAAACGCCACCATGCTCATTCGGCTCCAGGACGACTGCACAAAACCAATCCAATTGCAGAAAGGCGTGAGGCAGGGAGACGTGATTTTTCCGAAACTGTTCACGAACGCATTGGAGGACCTTTTTAAGCTCTTGAACTGGACTGGCTTTGGCATCAATATTAATGGCTAATACATACCTCACCTGCGCTTCGCCAATGATATAGTCGTTTTGGCAGAGTCGTTGGAGGACCTGAACACCATGCTCATCGACCTTGATGTCGTTTCCCAACAGGTGGGTCTGAAAATGAACATAGACAAGACGAAAATCATGTCTAATGTCCATGTTGCACTTGTACCGGTCATCGTTGGGAACGACATCCTTGAAGTTGTTGACCATTACACATACCTTGGTCAGATCATTCAGCTAGGTAGGTCAACTTCGAGAAAGAGGTCGCCCGAAGAATCCAACTCGGATGGGCGGCGTTCGGGAAGTTACACGATGTCTTCTCATCGAAAATCCCACAGTACCTGAAGACCAGGATGTTTAACCAGTGTGTGTTGCCGGTGATGACGTATAGTACTGAGACGTGGTCCTTAACTTCTGGCCTTCTTGCAAAACTCAGCGTCGCTCAGCGCGCGATGGAGCGGGCTATGCTCGGGGTCTCTTTGCGCGACAAAATCCGAAATGTGGAAATTCGCCAAAGAACCAAAGTCACGGACATAGCTCGCAAAATCTGCAGGCTAAAGTGGCAATGGGCAGGGCACGTCGCTCGAAAAACGGACGGTTGATGGGCCCGAAAAGTCCTAGAGTGGCGACCAAGGACCGGAAAACGTAGTGTGGGCAGGCCTCCCGCTAGTTGATTATTTTTAAATACATTTTTTCACTAATTGTTTTATTATCACCGGCCTGATATAATAAAACTTTTGAACCATATTATATTGAAACATAAATTCGTATGGTTACTTAGCATAAATACAGTAAATAACACACTTACTGTGTTTATGCTAAGTGTTCCTTTTTAGAGAACCTCTAAGAAATACTTAGTATAACAACAATGATTAATTTATTTGTTCTTTCAATAACTCAGTAATCGTGTCTAAATAAGTAATAGATAGAGGCTGAGCTCCTCTTTCATTTAAGGTATCAACCAACATGATCTGATTACAAACAAAGGATTTATGGAAGATTTTCGAGCCAAAACTTTAACCGCGTTTTTCTCAAAAGTGTCTAGAGCGTACTTACTGCAACTATGCTATTGACGGCAGTACTGACCCCAAATAAAAGTGCGTAAGATTATTTCGAAGAAAGTAAATAATAATGTATGTATTTGGCACCCACAAACGATGTTACCAGGAATCGGAATCCATTATTATTTGTATCCCACGTTCAATGAATAATAGATCAAAAAAGTTACTGCAAATAAAACATGTTATTTTATCTTCAGTCTACGTTACTTCTTACTTCAATTTACTTTATAATAAAATAAACGTGAAACATATTCCTATAAATATTTTGACAATGAATTGCGCAAGATTTATATTAATAACATTTAATTTGGATCTGAATCTCATTTCCTAAAATACACCAATTCCTGCCGAACAATGTCGTTTCATAGTGGTCCGGAGGTTAAGGCACCCGCTCCTCATACATGTGGGTGTAGAATCGAAACTGTGTCGCTTCATCTATACGCTTTTAAATCGTGCGTCTACGCATGCACTCAATGAAAACAAGCAGTGGTTATACGAAATAATTTTTTTATTAAATTTTATTGGTTGCAAACTTAAAAAAAAACTATGTTCATAAACAAAATCGTAACTACAACCGTTGCACAAGGGTAAATATGGATGCAATATACGAACCCCTAAAACTTTACCCTAACACCAATAAAAACATCAGATTCCACGTAAAGCCGGTAGTTAGTTCGGGAGTTAAGTCCATGAATTTAGTTCTAATTCCATCTAGTGCTTCTAAACGGTCTATTATATGCTACAGAGGCGGAATGCAATTCCCGAATTTGCAATTAGGAGCAAACTCGACGTATCCACATGTGATAACCATTAGGTATTAGGATTAAGTCGATTTTACACTGAACTATTAACACCAAGTTTTGACTGAATTATAGAGAGACTGTGCAACTGTACTACTAGGGTTTTGAGGTCACAGTATTTAGAATAATAGTGTAAGAAAACCACAAAAGAAAAAATAGGTTATGTAGAATTGCGGACGGCCTGCAAGGGCAGCTTGTCGCCCCACCAGTACTAGACCCTGGCGTATGGCGCGCCACGATCTATGCGCGGCTCAAACTGTCATCAGGCCACTACAGATCGAGCCCACTAACACAGCCGTAGTTGGCAGTCTAAGAGTAATGATGTAAGGAATCTCAGAGCAGACGCAACGAGTGGTATTAAGTCTGAAGTCTCTCGCCACACCCAAGTCAGAGGTCATTGGATGATTTTAATAAAACAGTTATGTGAATGAAATTCTTTATTTCAAAATCTGCTTCAGTCAAACAACAAAATTGAACATCATTGACTTCCAAGTATAAGCTTATGCTGTGCTACTTGCTACAAGTCAGAGTATATTTCTATTCAAAGAGATTAAAAATGTTAATCTCTAAATCTTAATTGCAGTCAAGCACGATCATAACTTATAATCTAATGTTTGTTTTTACAAATTCCAATCCATTAGCTAGATAATAACAATATAATGTAGAATACTGTTTTTGTCAGGAAAGATGAAAGTTATGGATTAATAATGTTTTCCTTGCACTGGCTTTCAACTACTCCGCATAAGTTCTTGCTCCGTTTAATCTCCAACTTGTTTGCCGACTCAACACTTCTAATTTCATACTTGGAAATAGAACTACTGGAAACTATAATCATCTTTTACTGTAATACTCATTGTAAGGGAAATATTTTCAATGTATATCATATTAACTTACTAGCTAGTCTATACTAATATTATAAAGAGGTAAAATTTGTAAGTTTGCAAGTTTGTAAGTTTGTATGTAGGGTGTAATCTTTGGAACTGCTGGTCGGATTTCCATAATTCTGATAGAAAGCTACAATATTCCTGAGTGCTACAGGCTGTAAAAAATTACGCTACGATTAAATGGAGCCGAGCAGCGGGTGAAACCGCGCGATAGTAGCTAGTTTATTTATAAAAAGCTTGTGAGTTTATCCAGGGTATCACCTAACTGCCTATCAAATTTGAACCAAATCGATCCAGCCGTTTTTGCGTGAAAGAAAAAACAAACATACATCCATACACTCTCACAAAATTTCGCATTTTTAAGTTGGAAAGTAGGATTTATTTTAGTTTTAAATTAATTCCACATTAAATAAAACCTATCTGAAAACTATGATTCACTAAAATACTAGTGCATAATATAAAAAAAAAAAACTAAAAAAGGGACTTAAAAATTTAAACAAAAATATATAAAATGAAATTTAAGAATGAATATTCATTTTCCTAAATCAAATGTCAGCTAAATGTTCTATGACATTCAACCCTCGTACGCTGACTGCGTTTGAGATTGGCGTATCTTGAAGTGCAGGCGAGTCGTTGGAACAATTACTGGAGTTAGTGAACACTTGAACATTATTTTATATGAGAATTTCTACCATGCCAGTGCATCCTACATGTTCTGGCTTTTAAGGTCTTAAGCTATGGCATAAAAAGGCTTTATTTTATTTTTAAGTAAAAAAAGTTACATTTTTGTTAGCCTTAATAGGAATCAAAAGTATTACTTTTGTTTTAGGTTCTTGTTAATTTATAGTGGTGAATGTCCGTGAGCTCGTTTCTGGACGTATAGATGCATTGTATCGGTGTGACAGCAGTGTGCGTCAGTGATATCTTAGATATCTACTTATCATATCTTTTTTATCACAGTTGCTAATATTCTAGCGACTAACTAACCTTTGTTGTAGCTAATTTTATGCCCTCACAGTTCTTTGTAACAAATCCAATCTTCTTACCCCTAACAGGCTGGCAACGCATTTGTAACACAATCAATGCGAGATAGATGCGAACAATCCGTTAATCAGTCAGCTTAGTAACCGTCTTATACAATAAAAAATATGACATATTTCTTAATTAAAAGAAGAATTAATTTGTTTCTGATTAAAAGATATCACAAGTAATTACTCGTACAAAGCAATTATCACGTAAGCGATTAAAATAACTGTAAACGTAAGTAATTAAACATTAATTTCTACACATAAAATGAATATGGACACGTTTATCAAATTGACTAACAAAACGATTCATTAAAATATTCAAGAAATTTCACGAGTATTCTTCGTAATTCTAATAAACTTAAAACGAACAATGTAATAAACATCTTTCAACTTTGACTCGCAGTTTCTTATTCTGATTAAAATCTTTACTGCGTAAGAAAATAATATTATCTTAAGAAAGTTCTTTGTGAAGTGCCAACACCTCAGTTTCAGTGGTTTCAAGAACTCGTAAACATTATTCAGACCAATTTATAAATTAATATTATTATCTTTTGAAAGTACCTAACGATGCTGATTCTAGACGTTTTCTAGTAAATCCAAAGTTTTGATTATTATTTTGTCTATAGAGATAGTTTATTGTCCCTAAGAAGAAAATATAGTCTTGAGTAACAAAAAATAATTAAAAATTCAGTGTCACATTTTCTTAAGAACGCCCTGATGCTTTATAAATTAAAATTTGCATAAATAGAATGAATAATTTTAAGCATCAAAACAAAATTCCATCCTCAACCTCGATTGCGGGGCAAGCGCAATAAGGCACCGCGGCCTCGGCGTTGAATAGGAGAAGGAGTTTTTAGTCAGTTAGAGTCTGACACACTCTCATACTGGGCTAGAAAAGTCATTTAATGATTTTTCCTTAAAAAAAATACCCAACATCGATCATTCAACTTTAATTTTTTTTTATTATGTAATAGATCGGCAAACGAGCAGACGGATTACCTGATGGTAAGCAATTAGCGCCGCCCATGGACACCCACAACGGAGGAGTTTCGAGTGCGTTGCCGATCTTTTAGGGTTTAGGGATTGGAGATTTAGGGATTGCGGAGGGATTGGGATAGGGAAAGGATTGGGCCTCCGGTAACCTCACTCACACGGCGAAACACAACGCTGTGGTTGTTTCACGCCGGTTTTCTATGAGGCCGTGGTATTACTCCGGTCGAGCCGTTTACTTTCAATTCGAAAATCAAATCAATTCGAAATTCGAAACACAAATTGAAACCAGCAAATAATTTCGTATTAATCACGTGGAACGGGAAAGCTGTCACCGACGCAACATGCAAATAAGTCTTAACGCGTTTAACGTTTGCCAGTTAGATTAGAAATGTCCTCTTGCAGTGGTGTCAGCAAATTGATGGTTTATTACGTTACTGTTAAAGTTCAAATTACGGTGCACCTTATATTTTCAACTGTGACTCCAAGCATGCAAGGCACACATGCTACTTTTAATATCGGTGACCGGCAGTTGCGTAACTTTTCTGAAGCTTTATAACGCCGATAGAGTTGAAATTCGCCGAATTCGGCAAGGTCGGCAATCAAATTTTCTTTTTTTTTATTATTCTATCACACATAAAGGATTACGCTGTATTTAAAATATTCTGTACTGGAAATTTTAGGTAGTTTGTACTTACGAAAATATATATCTTATAAAAAAACATCCATGATGCTTCTTTGAGGTGTAAGGAATAACTTTATAATTTAAAGAGTTATTGATTTTCAGCAATAAATTATTATCCCACATTGATATTCTGAGTCCACTGGAATGAGAAGTTTTCATTATTGAACATCTTAGTCAACCAACAAAACTTCTTTTTCACAAACTCATATCATGATTTGAACGAGGAACATGAAGTTTAGTTACACAGTTGCCATTTAATCCTAGTTTTACTGTTCAAGGCATTTTATGAAGAGCGGTTGCATTTGCAATCGTAAAATCGATTTACTTCTCCTGTTAAAGTATACTTTGTATTCTTTACATAAGAATAATTTATTTTTACAAAGTAGAGCTGTAAACGAACTGCCTTTAAAATATTACCTGATAATAAGCAAATACAGCCGCCCATGGACACCTACTGTATCGTAACCATTCTAGTATTGACTAGAATAGTTACGATACAGTTGCTTGCCTTGTGGATGTAAATCTCCGATAACCTTACTCACACGGCAAAACAAAGCGCTGTCTTTCTTCCACGTCCGTTTTATGGTGGTGTGAGGCGATACCATCACAGTAGTTTATTTTTCGTTTTTATAAAAACGTTGCCCCACACTTGGATTTTCTCCTGTGTCGTGGGTGCGTTTTACAAACATACAAATTCACATACACACATGACAAAGAGTTGTTCCGTGCGGGAATCGAACCCGCGACACGTTGCACGGCAGCCAGTTGCCCAGCCACCGCGCCAACCGTGCAGTTAAAGTTATTTGTAAGACTAATACGTGGCATAGCATGGTTGTCCATCATTTACAATGGACTATAAGTACCAATTTATCAATGGAGTTAATTTAATTTCAAGGAAACTTCTTATATCTACGTAACATTTCATCTACCTATCTTTCAATGAACATCCTATAAAATATAATATTCCATTATGCTTTGACTTCTTTAAAATTGATTTTTGTAGCTCATCCTGCTCAACAGATGTACGTGTACTAAACGCAGTTTCTTTTCTCCAACAGACGATAAACTTCGACTCGACGCGTGGCGGCATATCCTTAGTTACTGAGAAGGGTATACATAGTAGTAGTAGACTACTCGTGCAGTCAGCACGGACAACAGACGCTGGCACGTATCAGTGTGCGCCGGACAACGCTCAGTCAGCGACGGCGAGAGTTCATGTACTCACTGGTGAGTTCTGGAAACTTCTATTAATTACGTCTTACATTCCCCGAAGGCTCGAAACTTGTGTACCTCTGCCGTCTACCCTTACGCTAAGGGTGCATTAACCGTACACCCACTTTTCACCCTTTGTGTTTGAAATCTTATTAGGGTTTGAAGTTACTGTCAAATAGCGAACAAACCCCAAATTCTCGAAGCTTCGTTTTTTTAATTGCACTACAAACTACATCATCAGCAGCAAGGATGCATTATTTGAAGTCATTATGTTACTTTACTATTTTTAATAAGCGATTAATATGTTGGGACTAATAACGAAAGTCGTAGTCGAAAGTCAAACTTTTTTACAAATAGGTCACAAGGTTACATCATGATTAAAACGAGAGACATATACTATAGGTAGCACTAGACATAACGTTATAAGCAAGGCAGTCATAAAATATTTAGCTATCAATCATTTTGTCCATGTATTAAAACACGATGATTAATTCAAAAATAAATTATTTCCAATAATAAATTGAATGGATTGTTTAGTTCCAAAAATATAACGACTTTTTGATTTAATATTGAAAAATCCTGAAAATTTATAGTTTTTGAGGTTTGAATAACACTATTGGATTTGTATGGTTATCATCATCCCTATTAATATTTGTAGCCAGTTCTGTATAATGTATTGGTACAATTACATTACAAATAGTACAATAATATGATAATCACACAATGAGATACATCAGAAGTCAGAAGAGAGAGAGAGAGAGAGAGAGAGGGAGAGAGAGAGAGAGAGAGAGAGAGAGAGAGAGAGGGAGAGAGAGAGAGAGAGAGAGAGAGAGAGAGAGAGAGAGAGAGAGAGAGAGAGAGAGAGAGAGAGAGAGAGAGAGATCAGATCCGAGATCAGAAGTCATCAAAGCCTGAGAGAAGAGGTTGCTTAAGGGTAGACGAGACGTGCTCCATCGTTCGTTCGCAGCGTCGCTAACCACCAGGCGAGACAGCTACCAAAGACCGGCTGCTCTATTCTAATATTATAAAGAGGTCAAATTTGTAAGTTTGTATGTAGGGGTAATCTTTGGAACCGCTGGTTGGATTGTCAGAATTCTTTCACTGATAGATAGCTACAATGTTCCTGAGTGCTATAGGCTATAAAACATCACGCTACGATCAATTGGAGCTAAGTAGCGGGTAAAACCGCGCGAGAGTAGCTAGTTGGTAATAAAAAATACTCAGCTAAACAAAATAAAAAAACTTGGAAACAAAAGCATCACTTAACTTACGTCCCGAGATAGACGGCGATAAATCAGTCCTGTCTTCCTAATTAACGGGCGTCTCAGAACGTCTAGTAGTTCTAATTACTTACACAGTCGTCAGACGTTGTCGCTAGATGGAATTGGTGTGGATTTAATTAGCTGGGATAAACGGGCGATCACTTTAATTGTTTACAAACATCTTTTAGTATTTTGGCTGTAAATTTCAATTAAATTGTCGTGTTGTTTATCATGTTTACCAAGTTGTTGTACAATTTTTAAGTTGTGCAAAGAACAATGGTTCTGACTTTTTATGCGAGTGGATTGACTTTTCTGGAAGTGGAGATAATAATAATACTTAATTGGTTAATTCACATAAAATTATTGTGATAAAGTAGGTACAATTAGTTGTACAATTATAAGTTAAATTTGTAAGTACGGACAACTTGGCTTATAGGAGTTGCAGAGGTTAAAGAAGATTGGGGCGGGTTTGTCCAATAGAAAGGTACGGTCGTGTGGAGTGGTGAAACTACTGTACGGGTGTGAATGAAATTTGGCATGGAGATAGGTTATCTATAGCCTACTAGTTAATTTTATCCTGGTATTGCGGGTGAAGCTCCTGGTAGAAGCTATTACAGTATGAGTCTGACAAAAAAATTAACGACATAGTAAGGTTTAAATTAATTAATAATAACGACTTACGTGGACTGAACTAACTTCAAAGTGCTCTACTAGCTTTAAGTTACAACAGGATTTTACACACAGCTACCGGCAAAGTAATTTTAGTATGTCTCACGATAATTGTTGCACAAGAACACCGGTAAAGTCATTGAAAATTCAGGTAAAAATCGATAAATTTACGTCTATATCTGTGTGTTATATAGCCGACCCTTAGGTAGTTGAAGTACGCCAAGATAGTCCATCCATGATAAAAAGTGTTCATAATGGTTTAATGTAACACGGATTCCTTTTTTCATAGATACACACACGTCATACTTAGACTTAGACTGTTTGCTCAGTCACTGATTCCACCATGCAGTTTGTCTATACGTCGAAGTCAAGAATAGCTCATTGATAGAATGTGAAGTGTAGGAGAAGGGTTATCATTCGTCGTGTGAGTGAGGTTACTGGAGGCACGATCCCTGTCTGTGCCAGTAACGCGCTCGTAACTCTTCTGGTTGTGCAGCTTTCTATGGCCGGGGCCGATTCCTTACCATCAGGTAAATTCTTGTCTTGTCCAGGGTGATGGTTAGTGTCAGACACTTACTGACTATAAACCACCCCGTTTATTCTCCTGCTCCAGACCGAAGCACCTTATTGCGCACCGCGGTACCTTATTGCGCTTGCCCTGCACAGTTCTAGCATAACCTAACCGACCATTCTGTCAGTAAGTCTGTTTTTATAAAACTCTCTGTACCCTTGAACTAACAGCTTAAACAAGATATTCAGCCATTCAACTGTTACATGTTCCTTTTATTATAAGTTTCGTGAGACATTCTAAATTAATTATTATGTTTTCGGCTTACCCACGTAATAATTTGACGAGATACTCGACTAGTTTCAAGCCATACTAGAGGTCCATATTTATGAGCAGCATTCCGCGACACGCGACTGTCGCGCTGCTACTGTAGCAGTGTTACATGTTCATTCAGCTGTTGAATCAATGAATCATTAAGCCAATTGCCTGCAACATATACATTGTAATGATACATGTTACAAAGATGTCAGTACCTACATCAATAACTTATTCAACTTTCCCCTGTTGCTAGACTAAATAAAGTCGAAGTTTCATCAGATATACAATCTCACAGACCACTGACGTGGACCATCAGCTCTGGTCTGTGACGTCGAACTAATGTATTCATTACTTGGTGGCGGCACTGCGCTCGAAATTACAGCATTAGTTCGCTCTGTGTTTGGAATCGTGAACATAACTGGAGCTGTGGTTTCCATGTTGGTCTTGCGTTCTGATTACTTGCATTTCGAGGTTAGGAATTGTTGGTGACTTTGTTAAATACAATTTTAGGAAATTATTATTAGTTGGATATTTGCAGGTATGGAGCGAAAATTGTGTTTTACAAATATTTGTATTTGGTATTGCTATTATTCCATGGCATATGTGTTTATTAAATGAAATATAAAAGAGTGGGATGTTTGGACAGAACAAACAATATTGTTTAAATGCTTAAAAGCAAATTTTCACCTATTTTCGACTTTTGAATGTAATTAAAAATTGTAAGCAAACATAAACAAATAAACTTTATAACAACAAAAGTCATTTTTTTTATATATCGACAAACGAGCTCACGGATTACCTAATGGTAAGCAATCAGCGCCGCCCATGGACAACGGAGGAGTTACGAGAGCGTTGCTGACCTTTTAGGAATTGGGGATTTGGAGATTTAGGGATTGAGGAGGGATTGGGGGAGGGGAAGGATTGGGCCTCCGGTAACCTCTCTCACACGGCGAAACTCAACGCTGTAGTTGTTTCACGCCGGTTTTCTGTGAGGCCGTGGTATCACTCCGGTCGAGCCGACCCATTCGTGCCGAAGCATGGCTCTCCCACACTTGAAATAATATTATTGAATTAATGTTTTATATTCAACAATATTACAGTTGAATACCATCTGTATGCATTTACCACCTATAATATCTTTACAACAAAGAATAATGCATACTAAACTCTACTTTATATTTCTCAGATGAAGATTTATCCAAGATAGGGCCGATGCCAAAACGCCTCTAGCCAAGTTTTCGTTAAAATTTTGAATTTAAATATTTTTGTTTTGAATTTTAATGGAGTAAACAAGTTCCTGGCCCCGTTGCTTTTATTATTGCTGGCTGTGCATTTATCATTTATTCCCAAGAGGGTATTCAGACTCAGAGTCACGCATATATTAAACGCTCGCTTGTTTTTCGCCAGTTTATGTTATTTTATGAGTCCCAAGCAATAAGAGGAGAGCCGTCCACTATTTAAAGCTTCCTCCTTCTTCCATCGTATTCCTCATTGCTTAGGGTTGTGATAGCGTTTCTGCATCACTTTCTCTCGCACAATCTTCTTCCATTTATTTCTGTTTCTGGTGGTCTGATGGTCTGGTTCGGTCGGATCTGATCGGACTAACAATTTGTGCTGCAACCACGAAACGTTTTTCTGTCTACTCTGCTCATTTTAAACGTAATTAATAATTTGATAACGATTAATTAATAATTTATGTTGATTGAATGTTGAATAAAAAGTAATCAACAGTCATGACTTCTTTTATAGTTTTGAATAGCAGAAATTTTAATTTTATTTATTTGTTACGAATATATTCAACTTTATAAACATTTTACCTTAATAAGATAAAATGAACAATAGAAAGCACGTAAACTCCTTAATGACACTAACTCGACATAAACCGGTTACAATGGGGCACAAAAGTTTTAAAATAACGAACACGCTTTTCAAAGCATTTCCAAAGGTACCAGTTTCGTGCTTCGTTTAGCATGCAACAGCCATTGTACTCTCCCACCGTTTAGCAACTCGTGCATTTGTTGAATTTTCCTCGCGATCCAAAACTAGAACGTTTCCGTACCGTCACGCAGTTGGATCATGAATTAACTGGCTTATGTGCTTGCTTAACAAGGTAATTATGTGAACCTTCGTATTGGTGTGAAAGCTGTTTTTTGACTTAGATGAAAAAAGAAATGAAAAATTATTATTTGTAATTTGATACATGTTTTTTTTCTTTATATGGCTTTTAATTGTAGCAGAAATTCACCAAATATATAATAGTCTCTTGATATGGAATACTGCCATTTCAAATACAAGAAAATTTCGCATTGGGTCGACATTGAATTGGTATTCAATATTTTGTTACTTTCCGCTATCAAACACTCGTCAATTACACACACATTGAATACGTACATACATAACCTAAGAATGCCTTATTATTAATTTTATATCGTTATTTTATAAACATACCGAGTAGGTATCCAAAATGAAAAGAACTACTAAGTTATAGAAAAGATCTTGATCAAAATGGTATGTGATTTTATAAAGTACAAAGTTTTTACACGGGAACGCTCTATACGACTAACGGTTGGTCGCCGAAAAATGCTCAAAACTCTCTAAGGAATTGTTTTATGACGCTATAAAAATTAAATAAAATGTTGCTCTTATTTTTTATTATTACGAATGAAAGTATAACTTTATTTATGTTTTTGTTCGATATTGGTCATATTGATGCCTAGAGAATTGGGTACAAACTTGACGACTGATGAAACTCGATATCTTTTCGAATTTCAAATCCAAAACAAATGTTCTAATTTCAAATTATCAAAATCAAAGCATTTCTACGGTGGCGTCACCTGTTATTTTCGACAAATAGCACACTTATTTTCTTGACAATAAAATCAAAATTTTACAAATTTTTTATATCCTTAAGTTACCCAAGAATGAAACATATTCTATAATGAAATATATAGTTTGACAAGGGGACAATTTGATTCAGAAAAAGAATCGTTTAGTCATTTTCAGTTCATCAAAAAAAAAAAAAAATAATAACATTTTATCTAAAGTAACTTAATCTTATTTATTAAAAATTAAAATATTAAATTGTATGATTACCCAAAATTCAACGGTGTAACGATATTTTTATAAATTGAGAATAGCCCGTCTGTACAAAAATACGATTAAAGTAGCATCAAAAGCAGGATTAAATAAAAATAAAAACAATAATAGAGTAACATCCAT